ATTTTTATCCCCCCCCCCCCCCCCCTCCCCTTCTTCTTTTTGGGTATGTATATAACACCTTGAAAGTCTTCCTAGGTTGTGATGTGAGCGTCATAGAGGAACATAGTATCAAATATCAGTCCACTTTGGTAGATTACCCCCCATCAAATGTAAATATATTTGAAATATTTTCTTTTTGTTATATTGACACCTTGAAAGTCTTCCCAACTAGTGATGAGTGCCATAAAGGAACATAAGAGTAAACTTGGAGAAGAGTAATTCGCTAAAAGTCGCATAAAATATATTTTAAATGTGCAGAAATATCTATATCTGATACATGGATATTAAGTACAATATGCACTTGAAGAACAGTAACCTAATAATATTTCATGCATTGAATTATGGTAGGGTTCCAGATTCAGAGTGATGAAATCATTCTCGAACAGACATCTCAGGTGGCGATCGACGAATTCATGTCAGCAACTATGCGGCAATATGCATGGTGATCTGCAGTGTTCTTAAAGCCGGGAATAAAATCACAGAAGAATCTCAAAACAGCAGCTAGGTGTTGTGAATCATTAGAAGCATGAGCCGCTTCAAGAAACAGTGAAGGCTGGACAGTGTTGACCTGAAACCCAACAAAGTTTATGCGTCAAGTTCTAAAAAATTCGAACAGTATACAAGCAGTAAGAAAAACCACATTCCGCTAACATTTTCCTTCCGCCATACGAATCATGTTGATCTTCACCAACCTCTGTTTAGGCCAGACAATCCATGGTGCACAAAAGAGACATGTTTGGCTAAGCTTATTGGTATCCAATGTTCTGATAAATTATAAAGAAGTTTCATATTTTGAAATTAACTTTTACTTCACTGTCAAAATAAGCTACTGATTTTCAATTTTGATCACTAAAAAATTACTTATTTTATATTTATTTACTTATAAGCGAACCTTTTAAGCTACAAGCATGCTCTTAATAAATATTCCATGATTTTCATTCGCATAATTCGCTTAAGCCATTTGGATCAGTTCATCCTTATGCAGAATCTACATGTCCAAACTTCTCTAATTAAAATTACCTAATTCTCTCCCAAACCATGACGAAGATGATAGAAACTATTGATTTAAAGTTCACACTTAAAACTGTTGGGCATAATCAAAATTTACCTTGTTCTTCCGAGCATAACGCAAAGCTTCAAGATAATATCCATCTTGAACAAGCAGCAACACATAGTCGTGATGCAATGAGAGCTCTCTTAGCATATCCAGCCCCAGTTTTCGTGTTTGAATGTTCTGACGGCCTGACTCTAGCAGTTGTAATGCTACTTCTTTTGAGGGCTCGATAATCTACATTATAAAACATCTAGTTTTGAGTCTTAAATTTAAATCGAGCTGAACGTTAATTCGAATCCCGTTGTAAAAAGGCAGATAAACGCAACCTTATTTATGACAAACAATCCAAGTTCTTCATAACGTTCATCTCGAGCTAGTAGTTGTACCATGAAGACATAAGTATTTGGATCCACCTTCAATTTTTCAAAGCTAGCACTGGAAGAAATGGAAATGAAGAAAAGAAAATATAAGACTAAAACATGGAAAATTAACAATTTCAGCTAACAAATAGAAACGAAAAATTATTTCAAAAGATGGTGATAATCAGGGCATGACTTATCTTAACACCTCCCCAAACAGCCAAGATAATTAAAAAGAAAAAAAGAAAAAAAAAATCGAAACAGAGTTCAAAGAATTCCTGGTGGAATGTAAAAGTAAAATGACTTCATTACAACCACTATATTAATAAGCAATGTGATATCCTCAAAACAATACAGATTAGTAAGTTGAAATTTTTCTCAGGACTTCTAAAAGAAAATACCTGCGAACGAACTCAACAATGATAGAAATCAAGTAAGATGCATCTCCCAACATCTCTTCCTCAATAGCCGCAAACACGAATCTGTACAAATCTGCTGGTGAAATTGCTGCCGAACTCACTTGGGATTCCTGCTGCTCAGAAGCATTAGCATTTAATGCTTTGTTACCAGCTACAAGAATTTGAGATTGTACAACTGATGAATCAACTTGAGCACCAGATGCTTCAGGCTCCACCATGTATCCTCCCTCAGTTATACCACTCGATGAATCAAGATTATGAGAAGTCATCTTTTTTGATTCAAAGCTCACACTTCCATCAGAACCTGATGTTGATTGTGTAAATATATTCGAGGATTCATTCTCAATGCCACGAGCAGGTTCCTGCTGGACTCCAGATGCATCTATTCCACTGGATTCATCAACAACTCTATTGGGGCTATTTAAATTAGAAACACCAGATGGTGAAGTCTCTTCTGCATCTGTTCTCTTCTGATAACTGCCTGTTTTGACTGCCTGTGAGTAGGTTGTCATTAAAACATCTATTGCCCTGGCAACCATGGCTAGAGATCTTCTTTCCAAAATAACAGTGCGAGCAATTGCCAAGCACAACTGTTTAGCCTGAAGCAACCAAAATGGCTTATTACCATTTGGCAGAACTAGAGGTACCACACATATTCTTGAAGAAAAGATGCATGTGCTTACATAAAATTATGTTCAACTAGATACTGTACATAAAAGAAAACATTTTCAGTTATTTGACTAATGTACTCAAATATCGTGACATAAAATAACATTTTCAGTTATTTGACTGATATACTCAAATATCGTGACATAAAATTGGCTACCACATTTACTGGCTTCATTACACATGATGCACATGCTTCCTTCAGAGCATCTCCAGAGAGGGGTTAATCAATATTACACACTAACAAATTTATATGCATATACAAGCAAGCAGCTGTACTGAGATCTGATAGGCCACCTATACAAATTAAATACCAAAGACGTAAAAGCAAGGCAGGGGCAGAAAAGGAAGGACCGGAAAGATTATAACAACCAGCATGTGTCACAACAGATTTGGATAGTGGCCATTATATAAACAGAAGAAGAAGGGAAGAAACGGCAGCTAGAAAATCAGGAAAATCTGGGGAGAGTTTGGACCTCTCGAAAGTCCATTTATCCATTTCATTATTGTCATTCCATTTTAGTTAATTTCGAGTTATATTGGAAAGTAATCCCTGTTGACGTTCCTTCAGAATTTTATGTCAATACAGTAATTCATTTTGAGTTGTCATTGCTGATTTACGTGAATTTCATATTTGAGCTGATTGAATTCCTTGAATTTTCTGCTCATTAGTCTCTTTGGCCGCAGGGTTCTATCATTTTAATATCATTTTGGTATCAGAGCAAGCTCCTGGAATGACGCTCACTGATCGTGTAGGGGAATTGGAGAGAAGAATGGAAACTATTCAGGCTGGGATGGAAGTAATGAAGTCTGAAATGCAGCGGATTCATAGTATAGAGAAGAACATGGGTCTGATGATGGAGCAGTTTAAACTTGTGATGCACCGCTGGGATGATCGAGAAAGGGAACGGAAAGCAAAGGGCCCAGAGGAGGTCCCTGATTCAGAATTCACTGGAAACTCAACAATAACACCTGGAGATGTAGAGCAAACTGGAGGACTGTGGTGACTGGAGTGTAGGAATAGGAGACTGGAGATTCCGGTGTTCGAAGTGGAGAATCCAGAAGGGTGGGTGTTCAAGGCTGAACGATATTTTAACCTCACTTAGATCTCCGAAGCAGAAAAGATGGAGGCCGCCGCTATTTGCTTTGATGGGGAAGCTCTCTCGTGGTATCAATGGCAACAGAGGCGTAAGAAGGTGTCGAACTGGGAAGAATTAAAAGGTCTAGTATTGAACCGTTTCCGAGCAACCCATGGGAGGACTAGCGAGGAGAGGTTCTTAGCTCTCCGGCAAGAAGGTTCGGTGAGGGAATATCGGCAATGGTTTTAGACCTTGGCTGCGCCGCTTCCAGATGGATTATTAGAGGGGCACTTCATTAATGGGCTGAAGGCAGAGGTGAAGGCTGAGTTAAGGGTATTAAGACCCAGTGGGCTAGAAGAGATAATGGAAATGGCCCAAAGGATAGATGAGAAAAACGTGTTGGGTCAAGGGCAGTGGGCCGGTCCAGTATGAAATAAGGCAGGCGGGTTTCCCTCCCATATTAATTCCAACCCACCAAGAAGCAATCTGATAACTCCTAGAACGCACCCGATCCATCACAATCAAGCGACTTCCAATTATCTTCCTCGATTCAACCCAGCCTCGAGCTCGCAACCATCCCCGATTGAGAAAAACGACAAGCCCACCTTTAAACGACTAAGTGAGGCTGAACTACAAGCGAAAAGAGAGAAGCGGCTATGTTTTCGATGTGATGAAAAATATACTATTGGGCATAGGTGTAAAAACAGAGAGTTGCACGTGATGTTGATTCACAAGGAGGAGGGAACCACAGTGGTCGAAGAAGTGGGGGATATCCTGCAGGAGGTAGATGAGGATAAAGTGTTGGGTAAAGAGGGGGAAGCGGTGGAGCTCTCCATCAATTCGGTGGTAGGGTTGACTTCACCCCATACCATTAAGGTTAAAGGAAGAATTGGAGAGCAGGAGGCTGTGGTGCTGGTGGACTGTGGTGCGACACACAACTTTATATCAATGGAATTGATCCAGAAATTAGAAATACGTCGAACAGAGACGTCGGGCTATGGTGTGATCATGGGAACGGGCCTTGCTGTGCAAGGAGCTAGGATTTGTAAAGGAGTTGTCCTCAAGCTCCAAAATCTAGAGATTATTGATGATTTCCTTCTCTTGGAGTTGGGCAGTTCGGACGTTATATTAGGGATGAAGTGGTTGTCCTCCTTGGGGAAAATGACAATTGATTGGCAGGCTTTGGTAATGCGATTCTAGGTACGGGAGACGACGGTTACCTTACAAGGGGATCCCAGTTTGAGTAAGACATTAGTTGGCTTTAAAGGCAATGATGAAGGCCTTTAAGGAAAGAGAGGAGGGAATCTTGTTGGAGCTCGGGAGCTTAGCAATCGAAGTAAAAGATGGGGATGAGAGGCAGACAGAGATGCCAAAGGAGTTGGAATCATTACTAAAGGAATCTGAGGAAATATTCCAAGATCCGTGGGGATTGCCACCACGCCGAGGCAGAGATCATGCGATTACACTCCAGCCTGGGGCCGAGCCAGTAAGCATCAGACCTTATCGCTATCCTTACAGTCAGAAAAATGAGATTGAGAAGTTGGTGAAAGAGATGCTAGCTGCAGGCATAATTCGGTCTAGTGTGAGTCCATTTTCCAGCCCTGTATTGTTGGTTAAGAAGAAGGACGGAGGGTGGAGATTTTGTGTGGACTATCGAGCTCTCAATAAAGCAAGGGTGCCTGATAAGTTTCCAATTCCAGTAATAGAAGAGTTGTTGGATGAATTGCACGGTGCCACCATTTTCTCTAAACTGGATTTGAAAGCGGAATATCATCAAATTCGGGTGGCAGCGGAGGATATCCCTAAAACAGCCTTCCGTACTCATGAAGAGCATTATGAGTTTTTGGTTATGCCCTTTGGATTAACGAACGCCCCAGCCACTTTTCAAGCCCTGATGAACGATATTTTTAAAGAACAGTTGAGGAGGTCCGTGTTAGTTTTTTTTTTTTTTATGACATCCTTGTGTACAGTCGAAATTTGGAAGAACATCGGGAGCACTTGAGAGGGGTACTTAAAATACTGGAGGCGCAACAGCTGTACTTAAATCGAAAGAAATGCATATTTGGGCAGCAAGAGATAGAATACTTGGGGGCACGTCATATCGCAACAAGGGGTGGCAGCCGATAAGGCTAAACTTCAGGCAATGGTAGATTGGCTGCCTCCATGAACCCTTCGAGAGCTTCGCGATTTTTTGGGTTTGACGAGATATTATAGGAGGTTCGTGAAGGATTATGGAAAACTTGCCCAACCATTAACAGAGAGATTGAAGAAGAATAACTTTTATTGGGACGAGGTGGCTGAAAAGGCTTTTAAGGAGTTAAAGAAGAAGATAACACTGCCAGTTTTAGGCCTACCAGACTTTACTAAAACTTTCATTGTGGAGACAAATGCTTCCGGTCATGGTTTGGGGGCAGTGTTGATGCAAGACCAGCGTCCCATCGCTTTCTTCAACCAGGCATTGAATTCGAAGGGGAGAGAAAAATTAGTCTATGAGAGAGAACTCATGGCTATAGTTTTTGCAGTTCAGAAATGGAGACATTACCTCTTGGGCCACCATTTCATTATTAGGACGGACCAGAGAAGTTTGAAATTTTTATGGGAACAGAGATTAATTAATCCTGAGTATCAGAAGTGAATGGTGAAACTCATGGGATTCCAATTTGAAATTCAGTATAAGCAGGGCTTGGAGAATAAAGCAGCCGATGCCCGATCGCGAGTGCCTCGCTCTCCGAAGTTGATGGCATTATCTCTACCGGGGATAGAAAATTGGAAGCGCTGGCGAGAGAAGTTGTTGAGGATAAAACCTTGCAGAAAATTGTTGAAGAGCTCAAACAACATCCTTCCGATTGGCCAGATTACTCAATCTGTGAAGGACAATTATTGTATAAAGGAAGGTTGATGTTACCTAAGGGTTCAACTTTGATACCCTTGGTGTTGTCTGAGGGTCATGATGGCAGCTTGGGAGGACACTCAGGGTTCTTGAAGACATATAAGAGAATCAATTTGAATGTGTATTGGGTTGGCATGAAGAAAGATATCCATCAGTATGTCAAAAATTGCTCCATTTGTTAGCAAAATAAGTATGAAGCGTTATCTCAAGGTGGGCTGTTCCAACCTCTAGCAATACCAAACCAAGAATGGGAAGACATTGCCATGGATTTCGTGGAGGGACTACCTAAGTCAGGAGGCTGGGATTCAATATTGGTTGTAGTGGATAGGCTCAGTAAGTATGCACATTTTGTAGCCTTAAAGCACCCTTTTTCGGCTGCTGGGGTTGCAAGGACTTTTGAAAAGGAGATTGTGAGGCTCCATGGAGTACCACGCTCTATTGTATCAGACAGGGATAAAATTTTCATGAGCAGATTCTGGGAAGAATTATTTAGACTGCAAGGCACCAAAGTATGTCGTAGCACCGCCTATCATCCACAATCGGATGGTCAATCGGAGGTGGTGAACCGAACAGTGGAAACGTATCTTCGCTGCTTTGCGTCTTCTAAACCAAAGTCATGGGTCAGCTGGTTACCGTGGGCTGAACTGTGGTATAATACTTCATATCATACTTCATCTAAAATCTCTCCGTTTCAGGTTTTGTATGGGAGGGAACCCCCGTTGTTAGTCAGGTTTGAGAGAGGATCTACTCCAGTGTCAGTAGTTGAACAGCAACTGATAGAAAGGGATGGAGTGTTGGAAGAACTAAGAGGGCAACTACTCTGTGCTCAATCATACATGAAAAATACAGCAGACAGTAAGAGGAGGAATGTCTAATTCAACATCGGGGACTTGGTTTATCTTAAGATACGGCCTTATCGTCGCAAAACTTTATCATCCCACTCAAATGAGAAGCTACCCCCAAGATTTTATGGACCTTATAGGGTTGAGAAGAGAGTGGGAATGGTGGCATATCAGTTGAAGTTGCCGGAGAATTGCCGTATTCATCCGGTATTCCACGTGTCTCAGCTGCGCAAGGTTGAAGGAAATCCCCAAGTGGTAATAGATATTCCCAACCACTTGAATGAGGAACTGGAAATGATAGTAGAGCCAGAGGCAGTTTTGGGGGGTCAGACCTGGGAAAGGAAGCAACATCAGGGGTATTGAAGTTTTAATCCAATGGAGAGGGTTGCCACCCTTAGAGGCGACTTGGGAACCATCTGAGTTGCTGAAACATCAATTTCCGGAATTCCACCTTGAGGACAAGGTGAGTTTCGTGGGAGGGAGTAATGATAGGCCACCTATACAAATTAAATACCAAAGACGTAAAAGCAAGGCAGGGGCAGAAAAGGAAGGACTGGAAAGATTATAACAACCAGCATGTGTCACAACAGATTTGGTTAGTGGCCATTATATAAACAGAAGAAGAAGGGAAGAAACGGCAGCTAGAAAATCAGGGGAGAGTTTGGACCTCTCGTAAGTCCATTTATCCATTTCATTATTGTAATTTCATTTTAGTTAATTTCGAGTTATATTGGAAAGTAATCCCTGTTATCCATTTCATTATTGTAATTTCATTTTAGTTAATTTCGAGTTACATTGGAAAGTAATCCCTGTTGATGTTACTTCAGAATTTTATGTCAATACAGTAATTCATTTTGAGTTGTCATTGCTGATTTACGTGAATTTCATATTTGAGTTGCTTGAATTTTCTGCTTGTTAGTCTCTTTGGCCGCAGGGTTCTATCAAGATCTTGAATGGATCGAAATGGTACCTTATTTGCTTCCAATTTCCTTCTCTGCAAGAATTCAAGGATTGATGGCGTGTCAGAGCTACTGGCAGAAATAGCCTGCAACAAATGGGTCCATTCACAGCAAGAATAACAGATATACTAAAAAACACAATGCAATGGGATACAAGAACTTGCCTCCAGATCCAAATGGATCTTCCACAAAAAACCATTAGCAACATCACATATAAGATCAGGAACAAGAAAAGACCAGTCATCTCCGTAGATGATTATTTCAGCATCACTCAACTCTTCTGACTCTGAAGCTCTAGAGAAACCTCTCAGCAATAGAGGAAGTGGAGCAGATATAGGTGTTCGTGATTCTGCAAACATATCATATATAATGACAACTTTCGCATCCACTTGATGAACAAGCAAAATGTTGTCAATCACACTAACAGCGATCCTGTTAGAGTAAATTGGCAAAGAACCCTGAAAATCCAAAAGATCTTTATTACACAAAACCAAGAAGATCAAGAATAAGTAATGAGTAGAAACTGTCAAGTTAATAAATTTACTGAAATCCACCATATGAATTAGGATGCCAGATTGCTAAAGTTGATAAAGATCTTCAAAACAAAAATCAATTAGAGATTTCCTTCATTAATTTTTTTATGTGAGAATTTACTTCAGTACCCAGAAACCTTCTAAAGCCCAAGCAGCTAGGAAGAAAGTGTAACGAATGTGAGCTGTTGAAACTAGCTTATTGCAAAATCAGAAGGCCAAAATAATAAAAGCACCATACACAGAAAATCACCTAGCAATTAATACTACATATTTGAAAAGAAAGAACCACACAAGCATCAATAATTGCTCAAAATGTTTTATTAGTAACGCAAATTAATTCCAGGTGTTTTTCAGTTCATTAAGTGGTAAGAGAATAATTAGCTTATCTCTGAACTGGGCTTTTATCCAAGAACTTACCTGTTGTACAACAGCATCCCGGTAAAACCTATATGAGTGCAGTAGCATTGCAACTCTATCAAATTGCAAGCAGTAAATTCTGCCATACCTGTCAACATGAGATAGTATGACTATATGGCAACGTCAAACTCTGACAAATGAAACAAAACAAAAAATAGAAAGAAAGAATAACTTACACGGTGATTATATGGACATCTTCAGCAGAAAGAATAGGCTTACTATTTGCCTCAGATTTTGCCATTGTCATCTCAAACCTAGGCAGGCGAATGATTCCAGCCGATGAAAGCTAAACAGCATGAATGGAATGAATCATAAATCATAACCATGACAAACCAATATACAAAGTTACTGTAGTCATTTCCACTTAAATCCCTTGTGGCATATTAAGAGAACATTAGCCACATTTCCTGATGAAGGGTAACAACAGCAAATTGAATTTTCTAGAACTATAAATGGAAGCTGTGAAGGTAGAATAAGACTCTCTCTCATCCAGCTTTTCTGTTAATAAGCAAGAAAATATATTATTTATAGTTTTCTCTTCTCAGATATCAGTATTCACTCATCAGCTGTTACTTTTTTAGGACAAACTCTATTATTAATATCTCTCAACACATAACTAAGACTGCCATCACTATAACACCTATAAAAAGCTTGATTTATCTAAAGACAGAGATCAAACAGAAAAAAAATTTCCTCTGAATTAGGTGAGTTGCTATACCTGATACCCCGTGCAACTCTTGCTCTGCATGCCTGAAGCAAGAAGCACCAACCTGCTTTCATGCGTGTAGATGTACCAACTAACGTTCAATTTCTTTGTCTCAACCAAATGGAGTGATTTTAACTCAGGATTGTAAGAGTAGAAGTCCAGTCCACTGTAGTCATATCCAATTTCAGAGAAATCAAATGAAACCAAAATACAACTAGAGGTCTCACAAGTAAAGTTTACAAATAAGAGTTTTTACAAGCATTCTCTCCCCACCAGTGACAGATATCATGTCAGCAGATACTCATGGTTTCCAAAACTCCGGCTAACTAACCTCTCGTGTGAGTACCACAGACACAATACCATACAAGCTAAGAATTGTTTCAGTTCAATTCCATATAGTACTTTCCTTCAGCAAATCAAACAAGAAGGATTGCATAGCTAGATTTTTAAGCAACTACGACTAGTAGGAAGCAAAATAAAATTTAAAGATGATTGCACAGTTTAATACTCTCTATAGTATTAAGCATTAGCCATCTCATCTAAAAGCTTGAACTGTTAAGGAGGGGATACAAGTATTTATTTAAATAAGTATTCAACACGTTACCTCAAATGCAGACTGAATTCGTTATTTAATCAAAGGTCTACATGCACTATTTTCTTAAAAGGGAAGCAAGAGTTGAACTCAAATCTTTTGCCTAGCTATGTTATCATGTTAATCGTCTTATCTAAAAGCTTAAACTATCAGAAAGGGGCCACATGTAACCATTTACATCTTGCTTTCAACAATATCCATTTAAATACAAAATATACTGTCGAAGCCTTTACAAGTGTCTCCTTTACCAGTATCATCACTATTACACCTAATAACTGAATTTTAATGACCATATCTTTGCATATCTTGGTTGGTATTCGAATACTCGATGAACTAAACTAATCACATGGATCAACAGAAAATTCTTGAGACGAAGAAACATTGAGTGGTTACCTTGTTTTAACAAATACAATATCACAAGTTGGACAATCTGTCCAAAAGAATCCCAGAATACTTTCTGATTCAGACCTGCATTTCTGACTGAAAGTATCTCCTGTTTGCTTGTTCCAGATCTGAACCTCATAATTAGATCGCTGGATGGCCAAGAGCTTTAAATCTAAAGAATATCGAATACACAGCACAGGGCCTTCGCATAGTGGATCAGAGGATGGAAAAACATTAGGATCATATGGAGCAGTCTTCCATGAGAAAATCTACAAAACATGAGAACCACAGAATTTAGGTGAAAAGAGGGGTGCATTGAAAACCCATATTTCAGACAGTTAACAGCATCATATCCAGACGACTGCAACGTAATTACCCGATCAGATGTCAGTTGAAGTAGCAGTTTATTCCCATCATCGTACAAGAAACTTCTTGTTCCAGCGAGTGTGCATCTTAAAGGTGGATATTGAATATAAACATGTGACAGAGCACCAGATACATTTAAACCATGATGGTTAGAAGAAGATGCTTTTCCAGACATGTCAACGTTTTCCTGTTCTCTATGCAACTAAAATTTGGTAGGACGTGTTTAAACTAAGTCTAAGCTGCAGCAACAGTGAAGCTGGGGAGAAAGAAAGAATCAGACATGAAGTGCTAAATATGAAAGATTCATGAGTAACATTCCAAACAAACTCTCAACTCTCAAATACTTGAATAAATTGTAGAAAGCTAACCTTTACCAATGATGCCTAGAGTGTTTTCCTGCCAAATTGATAAACTTCCTTGAACTCAAACCTTTCGTTGGAGCTGCATGAGAAATTCTGGAGTAAGGAAAGAGAAAAAAGATAATACAAATTGAGGGAGTGCATCACAATAAACAATCATTTATGTAAATAAGTTGGTCATACAACATTCCACATGCAATTCTTTAAGAGAAGGAATTCTTTTAAGCACATGTCTCGTTCAACTTCTGGAACCCTTGCCGCAACACAGCTACCATATTGTTTGGCCTAAAAAAAAAAAAAAACTGTACTAGTGTCCCAGAACTAAAATGTTGAAGAACAGTAAGAAATCAACAGAAAATTCTGAATTAAAAATGTAAAAACTGGAGCCAACCAAGCTGTACGACTCCTTTGACACAAAATTAGTAGAAATTGCACCAATCTGTAGACTTGGACCTCGTTTTTCCTATACAGCCTAACAAGGCAAATCCTTTATTCCTACAAAATTAAATGTTGAGGCCCATAACACTGACAGATATTTGCTCGCAGTCATGACCAGATTTCAACTATGCCATAAAGAGGCGACAGACAGCCTCAGACGGTATAGAAACTTGGAAATCAATCACTATCTCTGCCTAATCTGTCACCATTTCATGCCAACTTGACAATGCGTTTTCCATGATTGCAAAGTAAAGCCACCTAACGAGAAATGTTTAAAACAGACTACAATCTCGCTTGACGAATGGAGTCCTCACTTAAGAAAATCAACCAAATAATCAAGTAGCCTATCCTTCTTATAAACAAGCCTCCTAAAAGTTAATTCACCAGCTTTATCTCCATGGTTCCAACATTTTACGAATTAATATATTGACATAGCACCGAAGTTTTTTATTTTATTTCCATTCAGGCAAGACAAAATCTCATTACCAGGTAAAGACAGTTAATTACTTGGTATTTTATAACTAACAACAAAATCCAATAACCTGAAAAACAACGAACCTGAGCTGAACAATTCAACAAGATACGCTTAAGTACCGATGCAGTAGCACTATTCTTCTCCTTCATAATAAAAAATTAGAACACCTATATGATGTAATCCAGTAAACATTACTAAACAAAATTAAATATTACAAACAAATAAATTAGGGATTACAGTATTTATTTATTTTTTATCAAAACGGAGAGCAAAAACTGAGGTACCTTAAAATTGGATCATTTTTTCAAGAGAAGACAGAGAGAATTGTAGAGATTTTTGTATGTATGACAGTTGCGCTTGTAGATTTTCAAGAAGTGCAACCTCTTCACACCCTGATGGGGGTGATTCAACGTTGTTGATTAATATTCTCGGGTTACATGGGTTGGGCCATTTGGGAAACCCGGAATTTGGGCCTCTCACGTTGGCGAAACTGGGCTTTCTCTTCATGAGTTTTCGAAAAAATTCACAAATCCTGCTTTAAGTATGGAGACTTCACAAATCAGGTTTTAAGTTTACAAAATGCAAAAGTCAGGTTTCTTAGTTAATTAATTAAAAATATTTATTAACTAAATATAACAAGGTCACAATTATATAATTAATAGTCACATATACGTAATTATAGGTCACAATTTATTTATTGATCACATATTATCAAATTAATTGGTCACGGATTATTTCGATGTCACAAATCAAAAGTTTTTAGGTCGCAGTTTATTTCATCGATTACAGATCAGAAAATTATAGGTTACAATTTTTCTATCAGTCACATATTTTCAAATTTGTTGGTCATATATTATTTTTCGATCACAAATTATCAAAATTTTATGTTACAATCTACCAAATACTTGGTCACGGACACCAAATAATTGGTCATAGACCATCGCCACCAATACCACTACCAATTGCTCGCCACCATCACCATAGTTTAATTATAGTTGGTCACAGACGTCAAAATAATTGGTCATAGATTCCAAACACCCGCACCACCGATCTCGATCCAGCACCAACAATAACAACGCAACCCACCACAATCTACATCTGCACCACAATTGGTCAAACACCACACACCAATAGTGCCGCCAACACCACCGTACCCACCGCGTGCACATACCACCACCGTATCCACCCACACGCTACCACCACCACAAAGAGCATCAACATCATCACCACACCCCAATGTCGCCATTGTTGAAAATCACAAAAATCCCGAACCACCACCACCACTACACTTTGACGTTGCCCCTGCTGAAAACTGTAGCAACCCTAAACTACCATTACCACCACCATAAGCAACATCAAAACCACTACACACCCTTCAACATACTCGTGCAAGTTTTCGTGCCTGAAACTCACTGATTCACTCCTACACATGTTCGAACTCACCCAACTCGCTCTCGAACTCATTCGACATCTTCTTCAACTTCTTCAAGTTGAAATCCAACCTACCACTGCTACCCACCCGACACCACCATCGCATCCACCACCACTCCAAAAACTAACAAACGCATCAATACACTTCCACACACATTGAACTTGCACAAATCTACAAACATTTTTCTGTCGTGGCAGAGCTGTTGCACTGTCGTCAACCAGCATTGCCGCACAGCGTAGCCACGACGACGTCACGCATCACCTCAATGAGCACTAACTTTGATGCTCACAGCGGTACTCAGATCAACGTTTAACGATTTTGCAACAACCACGACATCGACGAGCGTCTCTCGTGAACCAATGCTCGTCGCGGCACCTGTGCTAGTTGCGGTGTCGTGCAGTGCTATGAGTTCGGCGTGCATTGTTGATGTGGGCGGTGGTCTCCGACAGTGGGAGGCGACGTCGATGTAGGTTGAGTGAGAGACTAAGGAGAGAAGATGGAGTGATGTGAATTTGAATTTAGGGTTTGGAATTAGATTGGTATACGTTGATATATTTTATTATTATTATTATTAATTAAATCAATACCCGAATTTTGAATTAAAAACCTTTTCACTTGATTATTGCACTATGATCTTCAAATGTCTAAAATTTTGTAATTTCCACTTTCATTAACAGTGTTTGATATGTTAACTTCATTCGGCCTGCAATGACCGTTAATGAACAAAGTAAAATTCAAAACAGGGACATGTAGATTCCAGGTTGAAATAGAATCATCATTTTTTTACGTCACAATGGAGGATATTTGGAAAGAAGAATTTTAAAAATGAATTAAAAAACCTGAAAATGAAAAAATACAAACCGTACCAATTGGCCAGAGCTTTGATTACACTTATTTCTCATTTTCACATCTATTTTTTTTTTCTCATGTGGTTCAACGAATCAAATAAACAGTCAAGTTAGTTAATATTAATGTACTTAATTTCAATAACTCAGTCATCTGCTATCTTTTCAATAGTCTCTGCCCAATAAGAACTCAGCCAAGACATTTAATAAAGCCCAAATCAATATTTTACGTAGGTTAAGTACCAGAATTATGCTTGAGGTACAGGGTAAACTCCTACCGAGCACTCCCAACATGAGGGATGGGCGAGGCGGCCAATTTTTTATATACGTGGGTGCTGCTATAAGGGTCAACCCTTATCCTGGTAAAACAACATAATTGTAAGTACTAAAGCCCCACCAATTATATTTCATGGACTCAACTTTTCTTCTCTCTTTTTCTTGTTCATCTCTATGCATACATGTGGTCACCTTTATGTGTGTGTGTGGGTGTGCTCAAATTTATATTGTCAAAAGGGGAATCGAAGTAGATTTTGCAGTTATTCGTGAAAGTAGTAAGCCGATTTCCAATTGTAGAGTTTAAAGTGTAGTATACAAAAGATTGTTACAACTACAATGCGAAAAATATAAACTCTCTAAGTGTAAAACCGAACCAAACGACCAAAAGCTTCTTCAACACCACCAATGGAGTCTCCTATGATTTTGAGCGCAGATTTGTGCCACACCGGATCATACACCGTCGTCCACGGGAATAGCAATAGATATATTGAGAAAAGATCCACCGGAAGCCACCAAGAATTTCGTCGAAGATGTAGAATGCTCCCACTTGGTTGCCTCTCTATTCTTTATCTCCAATGTCATGCCAAGTCCAAAAAAGAGAGAATGAAGAAGTCTTGTAATTATAGAGTCAATCCATTTGAATTCAAAATTCAAATATAGTACTTGATCAACAAGAAAGTGACAATACTAGTATATGATAATTGACCACAAGATTAAATCCAATGGTCGGATTTAATCTATAGTCCATATTACTCCATAACTAGCACAATCCACTTTACATTCTTAAGACCAATCAATTTACACCAAGTAGAGGGTGTGATCCACCTTACAAATCTTCACACATTGGATCACATAACATCCATTGCCACCCCATTTTGTTGAGGAGTGTGTCTTACAATCATGTGCATCATTATACCATTTTTCTTGCAAAAATTATCAAATTCAAAGTTGCAAAACTTAAAACTATTATCTGTCCTAAGAGTTTTCACACCCTTTCCCATTTGATTTTCAACTAAGGCAATCCAAGACTCAAACTTACTAAAAGTTTCAGATTTTGATTTAAGGAGATACACTCAAACTTTCCTCGAGTGATCATCAACAGTGAATTAAAATAACTTTCATTTTTTGCTTCCAAATTGAATAATCTCCCTTACCATTGAATTGTGTCAATTCAATTCGAGAAGTCATGGTAGCAAAATAATATTTTTAGAAAAATTTTTACTTAGCCAATTTACCCACCACAAATGCAAGTTCAAACCAATTTATGTATAAATTACTTGCTAAGATGACATAAACAATGATATCATAACAAGTAATACATAACCAATATCACAAGAGTAGAATAACAATATGTAAGGATGGCAACGAGATAAGCCGAGCCGGCTCGCGAGTCGAAAATCAAGGCTTGGGCTTGGCTCGAGCTTTTTGAAGACATACTTTTTTTGGCCCGAGCCGAGCTAAGCAAAAGCTCAGCCGAAAAATTGAGGCTCGGCCAGAGCCAAATTGAGCCGAGCCGAGCTGACTCTTTTTTTTTTCTTTATTTCTCCTTTAAAAGGCAGTTGGATGCCTTTGTAAAAGCATCCTACTGTCTTCGTTTAAAGGCAGCAGCTAGCTGCCTTAGTTTGTAGTTTTCTCATTTTCTTTTTTTTCGAGCCGGCCCGCGAGCCACACGATGAGGCTCGACTCGAGCTTAGGCTCGATTTAACTGAGCCTCGAGCCAAGTCGGCTTAAACTTTTTGCGAACCGAGCAATGGGCGGCCCGAGCCCTAGAGTCTTTTTGTCATCCCTAATAATATAAAAGCATATAACACAATATTTCAATTGTAAATTTGAGAGGGTGTTAGAGCGCACAAACCAAGTGAACCGATCTGTTGGTTCGTATTTTAAGGAGAGATAAAAGTCTTTATCGATCTAGGGTCTCCACAAATTGCCCTAAGTCATCCAACAGCTGCTACAACACCAAGAAACACCACCGAGTTGCCAACAAAAAGTTCCTCCGTTCCCACTTTTCTGCCCAAGATTGTATCTACTTCCACAGTGCCCCAAACTGAAATTCAACACCACCAAAAGGTCAGAAATTCATCAAAGAACAATCTATCTTTTTTGACCTCCAGCTGAATCCCCTCCACGCGCCCTCACACGCCGCACGTGTCCTGTGTGCGTGGTCTAACGCATCGCCTTCACCGCCGACGCATGTATCACATACGCTACACCGGAATATTCTGCTTGACGTCTGGAGTTTGGTGGTGGTCTCCATTCGTCCACCAGGTGTGTATTTTTATTTTTTTTCCAAAAAATGGGTTTAAAGTTTCTGTTCAACTTGTTTTCGAACAAAATCGAACCCCTTCGACTTCCAATCCAATTTTCAGGTTGTTTTAACACTTTTTACCACTAGCCTAAGCTCTAATACCATTTGTAGAATTTAAAGTGCACTATACAAAAGATTATTACGACTACAATGCGGAAAATATAAAATCTCTAAGTATAAAACCGAACCAAACGACCAAAAACTTCTTCAACACCACCAATGGAGTCTCATATGATGTTGAATTCAAATTTGTGTCACACCGGATCATACACCGTCGTCCACGGGAATGACAATAGATATACTGAAAAAAGATCCACCGGAAGCCACCAAGAATTTTGCCAGAAATGTAAAATGCTCCAACTTGGTTATCTCTCTATTCGTTTTCTCCAATGTTATGTCAAGTCCAAAAATGAAAGAATGAAGAAATCTTGTAATTATAGAGTCAATCCATTTGAATTCAAAATTCAAATATAGTACTATGGTCAACAAAAAAGTGACAACACTAATATAGGATAATTGACCACAAAATTAA